AAAAAAAACAAACTGTAATTATACTTACAATCAAAATATGTTTCGGCTTTAAATAACGCACAAAGGGTTGATAAGCCGTAAAAAACAAATCAATCAATCTCTTTTATATGTGCTTAATGTGTATACTTAAAACTGTATACTCGTAAAGAAAAAACAGATCACGATATAGATATAGCAGAAGGTGGGTCATTATATTCATAGCTTTTTTTCTCATTAGCTGAATTGATTGATTTCTTTGATTAATGGAGAACATTTGGTTAAATACTTTGATAATGAAGAATATTTTTGAAGAGTAATATTTATTGCAAATAATGCCATACTTTTTCATCATTAGGGTATATATATATATATATATATATATATATATATATATATATATATATATATATATATATATATATAATTGACCGAGAGGTTAGATTTTTAATTTTTCATGCAAAGCCGCTCCTTATCCCGGTTGTGAAGTGCATATGAGCGTAGGCAGAAATCTTCGTAGACTGACCAAGATACTCTCATGGAATGTGACCAAATCAGGTTTATTCTGCAACACTACACCCCCCCCGCTTGCGATCCATACACTTCTTCCATCGGTGTTTCAGTGCTTGGAACTCATTGGTGAAGAAGCTCTTATCCTGTTGATAAAAAAAAACGTAATCAACCACACATAAGATGTTCGCATCACGGCAATACTGGTTCCTATCCAAAGGTTGGGGAAACAGTTGATAGTCAGAAAAAGGAGAATAAGGAAAGTAGTCAACTTGATTACACCACGATGCCAAATTTTGTCCAAATAAGGAAATATTCAAGAAAACAGGCTGGATTCGCCACAAATAATGTTAGGTTTTCTTATGTGATCAGGCTGCTGTGCTTTTGATCAGGTGTTAGAAGACGTGACACCCAACGAGTAGAAACCTTTGCCATGTCAAGTTCATTGTGCAGAATATTCTCACCTCTCGTACGAGATATGCAAATAGCATTGGCTATTTGATTTATAGTTAAGAGAAGTCACTACCAGTTACTTTTGAAGTCTTCTTTGAACAGTCAAATGTCAGTTTATCTGGAAAGAAACAATGCACAATTTCACTGCTCAAGTATCACTCCTTTATAGTCAGCCTATGAATTTTTCAGCCAACCCTTGTACATCAGCCATAGAAATATACTTGATTGGAACAATATTTATATACCAAAATAATTTGTTATTTTACATGTTAAGCTCTTTGACATTTTATAACTTTCATCATTCTTTCAATGCTTTTGTTAACTTTCCAACTTGCAACTTTCCAAATATCTTTCCATGAACATTGTTTTCCATTTTCATATAGTGGGTCTCTCCTAATGGTAGAAAAGATTGGATAGTGGCTCGGATTGAGGAATCAGAGAGCCGAGTTCGAATTCCATTCGAATCCATTATGTTCACTTACATGCTAATACCCTTGTGGAACGTATGAATCTTCTTCTTCTTCTCCCCCAGTTATCGGTAAATAGCAGGACAGACTGGGTTCTATAGCCTTGGATGGCAACTGGTCTACCGCAAAAAGAAATGGCAACCTACTGCAGGAAAAAAAATTTGCCTCATTAGTCATGTATCAAAAGATACATGATAGCCTAAGCATGTATCACACATGGTACATAACTGATTGTATGGATTTCTGACTGCTAAACAAAATTGCAAAAACTCCTTTTATTCACTATTCCTTGTGAAAATTTACAAATGTTTTGCAGTGTTGATAAAGTTTGGGTCTCATCCCCTAATGTAGCAACCATGTCAGTCTGAATGTCCTTGAGGGATACTCTGCTGCAGGCACTTGAGAACACCACGATGCTAAATTTTTGTTCATTTTCAAGAGAATTAATTACTACTTAATTAATAACTAATTACATCTGAAGTCTTCTTTGAACAGTCAAATGTCAGTTTATCTGGAAATAAACTATGCAGTTATTAATAAAAAGAGTTGAAATTAATGCATCAAAAGTTTCACAGTTCTAGCAACGCTCGTTCATAATCAAACTATAAACTTTTCAGTCCAATCCTTCTCTCTCTCACATACACACACGCACGCTATCTATTGATCTCCTTCTCTCTCTCTCTCTCTCTCTCTCTCTATATATATATATATATATATATATATATATATATATATATATATATGAGTGAACATTAAGTCAACACACAGAGGCGACAGGTTGTTTCATGCTGGACGCAATCATTAGAACAATTATATCTAGCATGACATATATGAAATATGCATGAAATATATATATATTTTTCATGCTGGACGCAATCATTAGGACAATTGCGTCTAGCATGCATGAAATATGAAATATGCATGAAATATATATATATATATATATATATGTATATATATATATTACATGCTAACGCAATCGTTAGGACGATTGCGTCCAGCATGAAACAGCCTGTCGCCTCTGAGTGTTGACTTCAATGTTCACTTATATATATATATATATATATATATATATATATATATATATATATATATATAGTTATAGTTATAGAACATTAAGTGCTGGTGTTAATAAAATAGTGCTCGATGTAAAATAACAGAGCTATTAAGTATATATAAATAGATATAATACTATATTTGTGCTCTGTAAATTTACATTGAGCACTGTTTTGTAAAAATAAAAATAACAAATATCAACAAGAACACCGGATTATATATCTTACTGTTCTTTCTTTTTATTTATATATACATATATAAATAAATATATATATATTTTTTCAGCAGTAGCACGACTCGGAGTATCATGCAAAATGCAATATTCAGATGCTGAGTAGAGACAGAACGTCTTATAATTTTAATTTTATCAAAAAGAAAATTAGTCTTGCTGTGAAAATCCTATTTGCGGTCTCACACTGTATATGCCGTACGTAGTCAGTATATTGTCAACCCTGCACTGGTTTAATCCTAATAAGCGAACAGAGGCTAAGAGCTTACCCGCTGAAGAAAGGAAAGCAATCCCTCTATAATTACAACATAATCCCCGGGTACCTTTACCCTTATATATAGGTATCATTGTTACATCCCTCCAATCTTTTGGCATTCTCCAAATCTTTACAATAAGATCATATATAAGTTGACTTAAATGTGTTCCACCGTAACGAAATATCTCAGAAGGCAGGACGTCAACTCCAATAGCCCAGCCCATGTTGAGTCCCTACATGCCACGCAGAACCTCGCCCAGCGATGGTTGGCTGTCAAGTTCTAACACTATGGGTCATTGGGATATTTTCTCAAGGACTCCAGGGTTCGCATTTGAAGGCCTATTCAGTATCCCATCAAAGTGTTTTTTCCATCGTCTGCCATCCTATCTATGAGATCATTGCCGTAATCTGTCCTGAAAGAAGCAATTTTGGTAGATCTGGGGCCAAATACTTGTTTCATCAAGCATACATCTGATTGATAATATTTGAATTCGTGGCATTCTTTATTTCATCTGCTAGCTCTGACCACCATTTTTCCTGCATAATTCAAAAAGCCCGTTGAGCTTCTGCTTTTACAGTTTTAAACTTCTTGCACAGTTTATTGTGTTATTCTTTGGACAGGCCTTTTTGCAACATAGAACTCCGTATTTGATTCTTTCTTGCAATGATCTCCTTGATAACATCTTCATTTTCATCAAACCACTCGATGTTTTTGCTGGCATTTTACCCAGAACTTCCGATTTATATATATATATATATATATATACTTCTTCAAGGAGTCCCATGAAGATATATCGTTGAATTCAGCAGGTCGTTGTTTTAGTGACTCCTACGTTTCCAGAGAGTGCAGTTTCACGACATTAAGACGTGCAGGAGGCTTTCCTTTGTTTTTTTCTAGTTGCTGGTTTAAAAACAAAGTTCATCTTGGCCCTCACTATGGCATGATCAGTCCAACAATCCGCACGGCGCATAGACCTAACAATATGGACATCCTGTATATCTCTCTTACGGACGATGGCATAATCAATGAGATGCCATTGGTATGAACGGAGAGGCATCTACATAGTAACATGGTGCTGATTTTCTCGACGCCATATTTCCCCAAACTATACCAGGTCTCCCAATCCGCAACCAACTCGGTCGTTAAAGTCACCGAGGAGGACAATATTGTCATCTCATATATATATATATATATATATATATATATATATATATATATATATATATATAAAAAAAATATGTTGTAGTGGTTCCAACGAGAGAAAAGTATGTATATTAAAAAGAAGAGGGTGCCGCAAACGTTTTTGGTTGTAATGTGGATTTATTGAGAAAAAATATTATACTTTGTTTTACATAATTTCACGACACGTGTTTCTGGTCTGGTCTCAACCGTCTTCAGGTGAAAGTGGAGATTTTTACATATTATTAAAAATAATTAATTTTTTCTTCATGTTCAATGTGGAATATTCTCGATATGAGACATTCTGTTTGTGTGTTGGCAATCCGAATTTTCTTTCTATATATATATATGACGATTGCGTCCAGCATGAAAGAGCCTGTCGCCTCTGGGTGTTGACTTGAATGTTCACTTTTATATTTATATTTACATACGCTCTATCTCTGGCATTGAGCACTTTATCGCATAAGTATAGCACACCTTAAAACTAGATTTCATATATATATATATATATATATATATATATAGAGAGAGAGAGAGAGAGAGAGTATGTGTGTGTTTGTGTGTAGGGGAGTGATATAGCCGTTTTGGGAAATTCTTGAAATGAGTTCCGCTAGGATGCCTTTTATTACGTGTTAAGATGTCCTATCTTGTATTTGAACAAGAAAAGTTATGAACATATTCTTCAAAAGACAAACTTTCACAGGCGAAGAGAAATTCAATTATGGCATCTGTAAAAAAAAGTTTTTATATTTGAATTCTTTTTTACAATTTGAGAGAAAAAAAACATGTAAAACAAAGGCCATATGAAAAAGGAGTGAAAAGATTGCCAAGTATAAAAAATGATTACCTCGTGTTAAACCCACAGAGAAACCTTCAAAGAGAGAAAAAGACAGCGAGAGAAAGAGAGAGAGAGAGAGAGAGCGAGAGAGAAAGAAAATAAATCTGTGGAAAGATTGTGTGTGTGTGTGTGTATGTGTGACAGACAAAGAGAATAAGTGAGCGTGTAAAGAGGGAGAAGTCGGGAGCAATTGAAGTCGGAAAATAGAGAATGCTAACCTTGGATGAAATTAAGGGAGAGCAAGAAAGGACGAGTGAGAAAACTAAGGAGAAACGAAAAAAAGAAAAGAAAAAGAGAGACAAAAATACACAAGGAAAAAGAAAAAAAAAACGTAAGAGAGAAGGAAAGAAAGAAAAAAGAGGAAGATAAACAAGAACCAAATAAAAATAAAAGAAACGAAGAGACATAAGAATATAAAAGTAAAAGAAAGAAAGAAAGAAAGAAAGAACAGAAAAAGAGTGAAAGGAAAAAGACGGTAAGATATAATGAGAAAAACAAAGGGAAGTAAACCAAAAAAAGAAAAGAAAGTGTGTGTGTGTGTGTGAGAGGGAGAGAGAGAAAGAGAGAGAGAGAGAAACAGAAAGAGAGAGAGAGTTAAAAAAGGAAAGAAAAAATATATTTCGAAAAAAAAAATCAAACGTGAAATAAACATGCAATGGAAGATCTTTTTCCTGAAAAAGCAAATCTTTTTCAGATTCTCGAAACATTAAAAGGCACTATTCGATGGAAACGCACTCCGTGGCTGGTTCGGTATAAGCACGACAGTTTCTCCAGCCAATGGAACCACAGGTTCGAGTTCTGCCGGAAGTGCATGTTTCTTAAATAAGGCTTCGCGAATACTGAGACCGGTAGGCGAAGATGAAAATATTGTTCAACAAATAAACGGAGCGTCTACTCTAATATGGGCATCCACTAAAAATTACGTTTAAGCAATACAATCTGTCGGATTAATAAATAAAAATATCAATCACTTCTTTATATATATATATATATATATATATATATATATATATATATATATATATAAGAAATATATATATATTTTAAAAAAAACAGACCACTTTAAGGTTCCATTATAATAATTTATTTCACCAGAGCCCTTTTTAAGGACGCCGGATCATCAGATAGCACTTCCAAAAGATGAAACGAAAAAATGAAAAAAAAAAAAAAAAAAAAAATATTAGCTCTGGATTTACATTAACTATATATATATATATATATATATATATATATATATATATATATATATATATATATATATATATGACGAATCGGAGAGCCGAGTTCGAATTCCAGTTGAATCCATTACATTCACTTACGTGCTAATACCCTTTGGAAAAGTATGAATCCTCTTCTTCTCCCTCCAGCTATGGGTAAATAGCAGTGCAGAGAGGGTTCTATAGTCTTGGATGGCAACTGGTCTACTGTAGAAAGAAATAGCAACCTACTATGGGAAAAAATCTGCCTCGCCAGTCATGTATCGAAAGATACATGATCCCTTAACATGTATGATGCATAGCACATAACTGAATGATGATAAAATTATAGTTTTATTGTATGCTATTCTTCTGGGTAAAAGTGCTCAATCTCAGAGATTTTATGTATATATATATATATATATATATATATATATATATATATATATATTCAAGTATATGATTAGCGTATACGGAATAAATTCCAATAACCAACAGTTACTATACTTAACAGAGTAGAGCAGATATAATTATTTAATTAAAAATTATA